TTCTGTCACTAGAGCTATTACTACTAAAATTACATTCCATGTATTCAGTTTTAGTTCTACTTAAACGAAGGCCTTTAGACTCCAAAGTAGACCTCCATAATTCAAGTTTTTCCTGGGTTTTTGTTCTCGTTTTATCCACGAGAATAATATCATCAGCAAAAAGCATACACCAAGGTACATCCTCCTATAGATGTCCAGTAAGACCATCCATAACTAAAGCAAAAAGATATGGGCTTAAAGCTGATCCCTGATGTAATCCAACAAAAATAGGAAAATATTTTTTCAATCCTCCTTCAGTTTGAACACAAGTAACAACTCTAGTATACATATCTTTAATGATTTGAATATAAGTCATATCAACACATTTCTTGGGCTTAATGACTACATTAATGAGGATAACCACATTAATTAGCAAGCTTAAAATTATGTTTGTCTTGAAGTCCTTATGATCAAGTCTTTGGGACAATCTCCTCTCTATGTTTGCATCTCTCCTCGATTGATCACGGTCTAGAAGGATCTCGTGAATATCATCAACCCAATGGAAAAAGTCGCAATTTGCAGGAGTCCTGTTTCTTGGAAAAAATAAAGTTTTCTCCCATAGCTGTCTTCTCTTCTGGACTGGTATTGAACACACCTATCGTCACAATAATAAAGCAGAACTTTCGAAGTGCTTAATGAGCTTAAGTTCATATTTTCTATTATTATAATACAATATTGTTCTAATTAAAAAAAATTGAGTTGATGCAACATTCCAAAAATTTCTAAAAAAATATAAACAATCTTAAAATTAATAATTAAAGTTTGTCTGTACACAAAAAGAAATGTACGACACAGATTGTTCCAAATATTTTGAAAAAAATATATCCAGAGAAAAAATATAGAGTTGAAATATGAATCATCAACTACAAATAACTAGGTGATGCGACATAAGTAAAGTCGTTGCATTCACAAAAGCATCAGTAATTTCCTCTATTAACTGTAATATCTCTTTGACGCCTTCTCCCGTAGAAGTGTTGTACTCGTTTGTCTTAAATCACTCTTCTTGCATCGAAAGTCTGGCTTTGGTTAGTTTTCTCAGGCATGCAGGTAGGATCATGTAAGACTGAAATCTCTATTATCTCTGATTGATGTATCTGTATAAAATTATAGAGCGCAGTCGTTGCAACAACTATCTCGGGATGTAAATCGCAAAGATCTGTGCAAACTATATTTTGATTACATTTCATCTAATAAATCACAAAATATAGTTTTTAACATCTGAAACATGCTATGAATCCAACTTGGATGAGCTTTCATTAGTTCACTAATCCATTTGTCACTCACAGATGACGATGACACACAAGATAACTTACAAATATGTTTCTGGTAATATTCATGAATCAGACAAATTGTGCTTGTAATAATTGTCGCCTGCTCAACTATCTCTATAATCTCCTCTTTATTTGTTGACTTCATTTGTTTGAAAGAATAATGTTAAACTTATTTCAAAGGAATATGTTATTCTGAAGGCCGATAAATGCTTAACTTGCGCGTAATGAAAGTTGTTTTACTATGAAAATTCACAAATAATTAAATGTCAGAAATATTCATACAAGCCAGAGTTTACAGTAGAAATGGTAAAGCTACAAAGAGTCACTCTGATATAGTAGCAGCAAGTAAAACAATAATGAGTTCACAGTAGAAATGTTAAAACTACAAAGAGTCACTCTCATATAGTAGCAACAAGTAAAAAAATAATGAGTTTACAGTAGAAATGTTAAAACTACAAAGAGTCACTCTGATATAGTAGCAACAAGTAAAAAAATAATGGACTTTGGCGCTAATGTACTTTGTTTTCTCACAATCTGAAGATAGCTTATAAATAAAATATTAGCCGTTTGATTGGGTATAATTCTTACGTTCTTACATGTCAAGTTTAAACCTCTGACTTCAGTTTAATATTTGCTAATGATGTGTAGTAAGTACAAAATTATGTTGGGTAAACTGCAGCGAAGATTTGTTCCATTTTTTCTTGTCATTCCTGAATTATTTGGTTCGTCTAGTTTCTTTCTTAAGCTATGGGAAGATTTTCATACATACAACCCCAATCTTATATATTTACATATCTAGCA